AAGATCATTAAGGGTCAAAGTATCCCAATGTACATTAGAGGTTTATTTTTTTAAAAAAATTTTTCTCTGGCACAACCTCAAAATAAATCTTAAATAAGGCCATTTTAATAAGGGTGGAGTATAGAGCGGAGACTTTAAATAATCAAAGTAATGTGCACCTTGAAATAATTTTAAGGAAAAATTATGTACATATCTGTTTTAGCACATCTCGACTTCTGATTTTTTAGTGCAAATTAGATTCAGACAATCAATGTTGGACATCACTGTTTAAATCTAACTCGCACTAATAAGAACCTAAGGGGCAGGTTTGGACACTAGGTGGCTGAAGCCGCTCATTTAAGATTCTTTGCAAGTGTGAGATAGGTTGGGACGCCTACAGCAGCGCCCCCTTCACTTAAAATTCTTTAAGTTCGAGATGTCTGAAAAATTCAAACAATGAATGTTTGACATCGAATGTCTGATTCTATCTCGCACTTAATAAGAACCTAAGGGGGCTGGTAATGAATGTTTGACATCGAATGTCTGATTCTATCTCGCACTTAATAAGAACGTGAGGGGGCAGGTTTGGACACTAGGTGGCTGAATACACTCACTTAAGATTCTTTTTAAGTGTGAGGTGGGTTTGGACGCCTAGTGTAGTGCCCCATTCACTTAAAATTCTTGAAGTTGGAGAGAGATTCTGATATTGGACGTTCCAACCGCCCCCAACTTAAAAAAACACAAGTGTCCAGGTTCAAATTCCCAAGATGTTTTTGTAACATTTCAAAATTAGATAGAACAGGAGTAATGAACCCACCGCCTTAGGGGCGTTAAATGGATTGGGTTAACCAATCGACCTGGCTGGTCGACCCGACAATGTCCAGGAGGGGGCGGCTCGTAATCCCCTAGATCTAGCACCAAATCTCACCTAAGGCATTAACTGAGCTCCACGATCGCGGGGCCCATCCCATACATAATGAGCAAGTTTAGAGGCAAGAACCACGACCTGTGGAGCTTTAATCAGATCTAAACATTAATGTTGACCTCTTGTAGTTTTGTGGGAAGCTCCACATAGAGGGCTTTAATGATTGATTGATTGCGGTTGATAATATTTTGGATCGAGTGAACTACCAAAGCAACGAAAAGTTAAATTCTAACCAAGCTCCACAAGGACACTAAATTCTAACCAAGGTCTACAAGGACACCAAAATAAGTTCGACTTCACAATGAAAAAGCAAAAATTCCTAATTTAACCAAAGATGATAAAAAATTCAAAGGAAAATTTCTTCTAAGCAAATTAAAATGGAGCACTCACAAGTGATTCCTCATTAAGACGGGAGGTTTCCCACCACCTTAAATTCAATAAAAAAAGGAATTTCTCCAAGATACTTGGTATTGATGTAATAGAACTAGACACCGGGTATATGAAGGCCCTAAAAGGAATCCAAAAATATGCTTAGCTAAAGAAACTGATAAAATTTATAGAAGGTGAGCATTCAAACTCCAAAGGTTTATCAATATAGTGACAACTGAGATAGTCTTTTATCCAACATTTGAATCTTCAAGTTCAAAGTTGAGCTTCTCCCAACCTCGAGAAAATAATACAGATGGGATTTTGTTTTTAGTTTTATTTTAGGATATTTGTGTCTTCTTACTTGTAGAGAATTAAAGAGTACAATTGAAAAATTAATTTTTAAATAGATGAAGCACTTCATATTCGTGTATTCTTAGTCGATAATCTACAAAAATGAAAAAAATAAATAAGATGTCACACATAAGATTAGACTGAGCGTGCAAAGTGGAGATGTGCAACCGAAGTTTTATGTGATCGCTACATATCAATGAAGCTGATGAGTAAGTTCTATAAAACTGTTTGTGAATACCAACTTTGCTTTATGAATGAGTGTAACTGAAATGAAAATGTTGAGTTGGATGAGTGGCAAAACAAAAAAGGATGGAATTCGAAATGAATACATTAGGAGAACTTAGATGGTACCATAAATGAGATCAGATAAAATAGACTTCAACAGTTTAGTTATGTGCAGTGCAAATTTAATATAGCACTGCAAATTAGTTCAAGTGGAAGCCTTAGAAAGGGCAAAACTTGAACACATAGTTGTAAATACTAAATAAAGATGTGGATTTAGAACCTCACTGAAAATATGGCCTTTAATGGAGCAGAAATGTACTAAGATTTATGTAACCGACCCCAATTAGTTAAAAAAAAAGCTTGAATGATAATGATGATGACGGACTTCCTTGTTGTTGGCAACTGATAAGATACAAGGTAGGTTTTAAGGTGTTTTTTCTTCCATAAATAAATAAATGCCAAACAAAAAAAATGTAAATAACAAAATTTATTGATTCTCATGACAATATCTTTTTGAGAAAATATTATACATTCTCATTTTTAAAAAAAGAAAATTATTTTTCTAACATCTTCTCAATATTTTTAAAGTGGCACCGGAGTGAAATATAAATAAATAAATAAATAAAACTTAAATATAATCAGGAGCATATTTTTAGCACCTCAATGATAATTTCCTAACTAAATAAAAGAATAAAGGATCGAGGGCACAAGCTGTGAGAGAGAGAGAGAGAGGGGCTTTCCTGATCATACTTTTACTCCAAACAAAACAGGTCGAAACAACAGCGTATAAAAAAAACCATGGCAGCGACCACTGCTACTTTTCATTCAAGGGCGTAAAGCCACAAACGCTCAAATACATAGTGAGACCAACACTCTTCATACAACAATGAATTTCCACACTCCTTATGCGGACCACGTATTCAAAAAATGCCACAACTAAATCAGTCCATAAGTGAACATCGTCCCAACTGTTACAAATGAACTTCACAAAATTTTTTCTTTTTCCTGGAATAAATTACAAAATCTGTCACCAAGATTGAACCCACTCTCATTTGATAGTTCCAACTAAGGCCTCTCCTATCAACCCAAACATAATCACAGTGTTGGATTAAACGGAGACTAAGTTCTGCAATCCCTCCAGTGAGAAAATCTTTCCGCTTTTTGGAACAGGTTCTGGTTTGAAAAATGAGAAAATATTCAAATCGTTTTTCACTGCAAATGAACAGTGGAAACAAATGATTAAGGAGAAACTTCATATTGAAGGAGAAAAAAAAATAGAATCAAAGTCTAGATTATTCGTCAAAAAAGGAGGCTCAGCCTCAAGATTAATGATTCAACACCTTAGAAACAGGATGTTATTTCACAACTGCATGTATGGCACTCCTCTGGGCATCCGTCAGACTCTGCATGTTTCAAATTTTAATCAAATTTAAAAAAGATATTCGATGAAAAAGAAAAGGGCATAAGATTGAAGAGCTGGCACCATACATAATTTAGTGAGGGTAATGTGGAAGAACCTCTCTCATTAAGCAAGCAGTAAGCACCAACACTGGCTGGGGAGATGGTGATAGAGAGAATACAATATTTATTTATAATCTTAACTTCCAAATATGACTTGTCATAGGAAACTTGCCAACACTAACGACGAAGGAAAGCATGGGAATGAATAACAGTCGTGAATGACTAAAAAAGCAGCACATGAAATTTGTTTAAGCAATGCTTTGATGCAGAGATTTCGTCCCAAGGCATCAAACACAAGGAATATCATGCCACAGACCAAGGAAAAACAACAAAAAAATATGCATAATGACAAAACCCTTGGATAGATGAATACGGAAAAGAATGCCCAAGGCATTTGCTGAAGCACAGTGAGAAACGAAAAATATGATGCCTTTGTTTCATTCCATGTTTTTATCTCAAAAGCTAATAGACGCAGCACCTAAAATTTCAAAGATGATGCAAGAAAAACTATCCAAATCGGCATTATCAAGCACAGACCAGTCACGAACCAGTTAGGGCACCAGTTGGACAGGTCGATTCACAGGTCAGACCAGTCTGAAGAAAAAACAAAGGAGTAATAAAAATCTAAAATTTTGGACAAGCCAGTCTAAACCTGCCAGGTCACACCGGTTTGACCAGCCTGAACTAGCAAGTTCAGACCGGTTTTGACCAGTTCAGAGTTCCATTTGATCACCGAACTACAATAGGATATCACCGACAGTACATTTCGACCAATTAAACTATAAGCCCCTACAATTTCTTCTACATGCAATTCGCTCACTCCTAATGAAAGAAGAAACTGCCGTGTGCAAAGGTTACACGTCTCAACGTACGCGTCACGGAGAGAAAAGAATGCACAGGGGACTGACATCTAATTCATTCTTGAATCATTTATTGATGAATTGAATTAAGAAGAGGGGCTCTTAAAAAGTCTACCCTGCTACACCGCCCTCTGTACCAGTAGCTGCTATTAATTAAATGTAGCAGCTTGAAGAAAATCCTCTAAGAAAGAGCATACTTATTACATGCAAGAGGGTATGAGGCTCAAATCATGCTACCAGACACCAAGTGGGCACAGCAAGATCGTCTATATAACCATCTAGATTACTTAAGAAGGAATGACCATCGAAGTCAAAGGATGCAGCAATTTTTTTACAGCAACAGACCAAGTTACTTCAAGAGATACCTGGCAAAGAAGATCAAATGATGGTTTGTTGGTACTTGAAAATGTTTTGAGGAAATCCACAAGATAGACTGACAAATTGATCTGCAATACACAATATAGTAAGTTAAAAGTACTAGAAATTAGGAGTTTGTTTTTTAATAATTTATGTGTGCAGTAATCTAGGTGACATAATAAATAAACTCAAATGCATGAAGTGGAAACATTATGGTGTTAAAAGTAACAGACCTCATTAAGAGGATCAACACCCTTTACAAAGTCATCTTCATAGTCATCATCTTGGTTCTAGAATTTCAGCACAAAAATTGACAATTGTCTCAGTAAATCAAAGGTATACACAAAACACACCAACAAATAAAATAAGTGTACATATATTGTACAAGCATATGTGAGCAAATATCAGTAGGGAGCTTCACATGGCAATTAGTGTTGCCCCCAACCTTGGGCTGATGTCACATGTCAACACATATTGATGCTTCGACATGCGTCAACACCTCCTGGGTCCCAACAACATAGAGCACATACCTTTGTGGTGAGGCCTTGCATTCTATTTTTGCAACTTATACTATATGTGCGTGTGCGTGTGCGTGTGCGTGTGCGTGTGCGTGTGCGTGTGCGTGTGCGTGTGCGTGTGCATGTGCGTGTGAGTGTGAGTGTGAGTGTGAGTGTCTGTGTCCATTCCATGTGCATATGCGTGTGCATGTGCGATGTGTGAGTGTGTGCATGCCAGCACACGCAGGTGCATGCATGCCACACTGTATTGGGCTTTTAAACTGAACGTTAGATGCATATGACACATATAGGCATCCAAGTAATACAACTGGCAATTTACAAAAAGAACATTTACTACACCTCATTGAAGACACTCTTCATGGCATCAAGTTGATCAATTGTGGGTCTTTTGTTTGAAAGAGCTCTGACTGAGTGCAGGATATCCAGGCGAGTTTCACCTTCTGCCTCCAGTTCTTCCCAGTCGGAGTCCTGCAACAATGCTCCATAAGCATATTTGATGGACAAATTAATCCTAACAGCACGTATGCATGCTCATGCATGAAATATGGCTATCCTAAATTATGAAGTGAGCTTGAGGCATTTTAGACATTTAATATAGGAATTTAACCTAAAACAAGATAAAATAAATAGGTTGTAAAGTGAAAGGATATTCATAATATTCAGAAGGAAATTCAAGACCATCTGGTTCGAAATCTAAAATACTGTCGTTCACATGATTTCACTCATAAATATGTTACTAGAAAACACGCATTGATACAAAACATTATGAAATATTTATTGGTAACTACTGGCAAGTGCAGGTATTAACATCTGCAAGGTTATCATCAAGTCCTCTTCTTAGCTTCTATTGAACTAAGGAAAAATACAAGAACCGTTCTACCCTCATTGCACTTGGAGGGTGGGTCACCTTAGCATCTCCCCAAGTGGGAGAATGCACATCATAATACAAGAACCTTTCCAAAGGAACTAAACAGCAGAGGCAGCAAAATAAATTTCACAGACCAAAACTTTTCTATAAATCCCAATTCTCACAAAAAACTTCAACATGTTGCATGTGATCATCTTGGACCCCAAGAGCGTTCACAGAAAGAAGAGAAATTTTTTTTCAAAACAAAGGAAATGCAAACAGAAACTCCTTGTGGAGAATGAAATTTGTGCCTGTGTACCCTGAACAATCTCCTAGATGTTCTAGGATGAGTGAGGAACTATTGAAGTTGCCGAAGTGAGATCACCTAATAAATAATTAAGTTGCTGAAGGGCGCACAATGTCATAGACAAATATTCTTAAAATTAGGTTTTAGAAGACAATTTAGTTTTTGACTAGTTATTAGAGAAAACAATTCCTATAATGGAATTATATTACCCCCTGTGCAGTAAAAGAGTTTTTAGAAGGGCTACACAACACACACACACAAAGAGGGAAAAAAAAAACAACAGTAGCTCTAAGCCTGTCTTGAGCTGCACAGGTGAAAGTGTACGCCTCAAGCAAACCACGCAATTCAATCATCAAACACATGCCTCTTACAAAAGCCAGTATTTAAAAACTCAGACCGGTGGGTCGAATAGGTCATCCACCAGCCCTGAGTCCAACCATCTGTATCACTGAGTCGACTTGGCTAACTTGGCCAATCTTAAAAAAAAAAAAAAAAAAAAAAAAACTAAATCAAATATTCAATATCAAATACTTGATTCCATCTAATAGGAAGCAATCAAAATAAATAAATTAAAAAAACAAATTGGACGAAAATGGTGGGACAAAAAAACAAAAATCGATCTCAGAATTTTTGGCTTTGATTAAAAAATATTTGTTAGGCCATTTGTAGGTCAATGTGATGGGAACATTCTGGGAAAAAATTGAATGAATTTGGTGAAACAATGAGAGAGAAATCAAAGTCAATCGAGTTTCAGTCAAAATTCCCAAAATTTGGACTCTCTACTTCTGTTTTGCTTTTCGATCCAACATATTGTTTTAGAGGTCTATTAGAGGGCTTCAAAACCAAAATTTCATAGCAAATTTACAGATAATTAGGTTGAGAATTACGAGAAAAATTGCAAGAAAGGCTGATTGGGTTATGAGGCTTACAACAAGGCTAGATTTTGATGAAAAAATCTCGTCCAAATGAACTTTTGATGAAAAGAAGGAATTTTGGGGGTCTAAGTGGGAGCGATTTGTGTTCAAATCAATCAAAATTGGGGTTCAATTAATGGGTAGCTAAAAAAGCCTTTATCTACCCTATTTTAACATGAAAGGGGTTACTAGGCGACATGCCCAAGTCCAGCAATAACCAGCACAGTACCCTGCTCCCGAGTGGAATCGGGCAATTCCAATTTGGCTCAGCATTACTAGCAAAAAATACAGTTTTGGCCATTAAGCACAAATAAGCCCACAAGGACAAGCTCATGCACACACTAACTGCTAAACACTAAAAATCGAGGAGAAATTATTACCACATCATCTCCAGAAAGAACTTGCTCTTGAATCTCAATCAGCACGTCCGCCAGTAAAGCAAGTATCTGTCAAAGCCAAAACATTATAATTTTTCATTATGTTACAGCAACAAAACATATTTTAGGGTTTCGTGAATATTCACTCTGGATGTGTGTGAAGTTATTTTTTTCTTTTATAAGGTAGAAAATTGTTTAGTCAGTTAGCTAGTTAACTAGGCATACATGCAAACATAAAAACCATGAGGGTTTATAGGAAAGAAGTCTGCAGGACCAGCATGCCTGCCATCGCATGGCTTTGTAAAGATGAAATAAAAAAGGTAATAAACAAAAATGATAATAAACAAAAATACTAGAGGAACAAAATGTACGTGTCCTGCTAACCATTAATTTTTCTGTTACAGATAACCAAACCTTTGCAGTGCTCCTCAGCCAAAGAAAAGCGAACCAAAAATATAGTACCTTTGCGGGAAGGGGCATCAGTGTCCATTGATCAGGAGCAAGCTTAGCTTTTGAACGAGTCACTATTCCTGCACTTGACTAAATTCATATCCAAGAATAAATTTCAATGTTTTTGAAGAGTCCTAGTAAGTAAAGCTCTACAATGCCAGCATACCTTAATAAGATGCCCCTGAACAGATATTTTTGCCAGTTCTGCATGTTGTGAGGAAAGTAAAAGAGCCAGAGCAGTTGTTGTAACCTTAATTTGATAGGCTCCTTGCATTTCTCCTATAATGAATTCCACAAAAAGATCAGTTTGATAGGACGGAAAATAATCAAACACAAAATTCCACCTCCACAAACCTATAAAAGAAAAAACTTTACTCCGGAATTAGGAGAGATGATTTTCCATAGCAATGTAAAGGACCATATGAAACTTTAACATAATCAGAAGAGGACTAATTTCAATTATCAAGAAGAGGGACAATTTATTTCAAGAAACTGCCACACATTCCATCAGCTAGGAACTACATGAGAAAAAATATAGCCTCGATAGTTTATTAAGCAGCATGCAAAATTAATTTGAAAATGAAGAAAGTGCCGCCTGCCATCTCTTTATATTACAAACGCAATTAGAGAAATCACTAGCAAACATCCTTAATACCCAAAACTCTTTAACACTGATCTACAACCAAATATATCCCCAACTTGAAAGGGAAAATCCTGTAGCTTAGAAACTGGGAAAGTGTCCAGGTCTTATGGACTTGTGTAACCCTTTATTCCAACTCTTTTAACTTCCTTTTGTTATAGTTACCATATGTTTTATTTTCTGTCAAGCCATCTGCTAGTGGAAGTTTCAATCTATGACAAGAAAACAATATCCTCTATAATGGTATGAATTCTCACTTAAATCTCCTTGCTTCAGGACTTCAAGAGGATCTGCTCATTAACCCAAGCCACATTTCCATCAAAACATACTGATGTTCATACTAATTTGCCAATCAATCGACAGTGATTTTTCTAACTTTCAATGTGCAAATGTACCCCAGTGCTTTCCTTGTAATTGTTGCATGAGACTGTAAATCTCTAATCATTTTCAACATTTGCTTGGTATTGTGTGTGTGCCCATGGATCCAAGTTATGGACCTCAAGTAGTTAAACACCCTACATTCCTCTAGAAACATGACACACTTATCTGTCCACATCCAAGTAAAATTAGTTTCTTCAAAGAATACGAAAGCATTGTCAACCAAATGAAGCATCAAAGATGCATCAGTGAACGTAGTTTGATAAGGTGTCACAGATTATATGAACCAATACAAACCAAGCTCCATGTGCGATGCAAATACCATCCACTATGCTTTAAGGCCTCTCCTCCCATATCAGCTTCACGCTTCCTGTAGTTTTTTCTTTTTATTGATTGATTCAGGTTTTCCCATGGTGTTTTCTATTTTATTGATTGCTTCAGACTTTTACAGCTAAATACAAGAGTTCCGGAAACAACTAAAACCCTACAGACTGCAAATAATATGCTGATAGGTACACTTGAGAAGGAAAGAATGTATCATGAGGTAATATCAGGTATTCTTAGAGAACAAGGTTTAGTTGGGGAGTGAATAGCTAAGCTAAACCCCATAAGACAGGAATGTACTGCATGAAGCCGCAAGAGCAGTAAAGGCCATAAATTTTCCGAAAGATTGAAGTCCCTAAGTGAATCTCACACACAAGAGTGAATCTCAAACACAAGTTCATAAAAACCCCCAAGTCAACCTCAACCTTTGGTACACCAATCCCTATCATTGGTAGATGGTAAACGACATTTCAGTACAAAATGTCCATTATGGATTCATGAATAAAAGACATGAAGTTTCAATAGCTAAAAAGCCGTTTTATAGTATAGATGATATTTTATTTATTTTTAGAATGTGTATAGATGATAGATATCCTTTTTTTTTTTTGAGAATGTGTATAGATGATAGATATCTTGAGCACCACTGTGAACAATGAATATGCGTATAGAAGGTTCACATCTTGGCACTTCAAAGAACTGTTCTGTAGTATGTTTGTAGTTTGAATTGAAAAAATGAATTAAACTCACCCTGTTGCTTGGTCCACTCAGACATCACATAAGGAAGAGCATTGTCATGACCTTTTGCTGGCAAACTAATCATCAAATCAATGAAATGGCCAACATTTGGGGCACTGAGATGAACCTGCAAAGGAAAAACCACTCAGCATGAGACACGACAATGTTGGAAAGAAGTAAAGGCCCACGTATATAACTTGGCATTGCAAGCATAGAAATGAACGCTATCTCATGTACAGTTATGGGAATACCAACAGCATTAACCAGCTTCTAAATATTTCTGGAAGATCCACTGATAACAATAAACAAAAAGATTGGAGAGAGAGAGAGAGGATGGGATTATAGCAGAAAACATCACGAAGACAGACAGCAGATAAAGTTTGTACCCCTATCTCCATTTCTTCAATTGTGCCTCCGGATTTTGCTTTGGAAATTCACAGCCCAAGAAACATACATTTCCAAAGACCAGCTCAACCGGTTGATTGCATTCATGAGCAACCACATGTGGCATGAAGTAATTCCACACAATTCCCACTAAGTTTACAAGAGCTGCTAGATGAAGCCAAATTACTAATAGGAATTGCAACGCACTCCACATAAGCTTCACAATACTATCAAATCCAGGGATATGACTGTCCATATTCCAACACTGATACTGACATATAACTTTTTGGTCCAAATAATTTCCATGTTGATGCATCAAATTGATTTAAAAGCAAAAACTGTAAGGTCACCAGATTGCACCAGAATTCTCTGAGCCCCAGGGAGATATCTTTACATATTTTTTTTGGGTAGTTCGGCAATAGGAATCAAACTTCAGAAGTAACGTTGCTAAAGTCAACTGCTAACCACTTAAGTCCAAGTCAATTCCTCATTCCCATGGATATTGACATTATTGAAAGGTCTACACAACACTAAACCCTTTTCCTAATAACCATTGGAAGGGCCAGAAAGCAGCCAAATTGTAGTGTGTAGTGTAATACGAAGTCAATGGAGATGTATATGTAGTGGCCCTTTGCCGAGTGGCCATAATCTTGCACAATGCCTTAGCGGCAGGAACCTTATGCTTGGGTGTTGTTTCTGTTCCTAAAGTTAATGCCCCCCTAGTGATCTTTATGTGATTCCGAAAAAACAATCATCTATTGGCCCATTCCGGCTGCCAATCCCTGAGACATTTCCAAGGAATTTCCAGTACTATGCTCAAGATTGGAGGCGCATATCAAATATTAACAGGCAGTCAAAGCCTGAATTACCAAAACTGTTTAAAATTTTATCAAAGTGACACCTTTGGGAACCTTAAGGATTGGAACCGCAAAGACAATGACATGGGTACAGCAGCAATATCCTGAACATGCATCTAATGAGCCAGAAATGGCTAATACACACCAAAATTCTAGATTTAATTACAGTGAATTATAAAGATCCATGCCATGAACAGAAACTTTTAGATCATCACAGAAAACATGATAACGAAACCAGTCATGCCTTGAACAGAAACTTTTAGATCATCACAGAAAACATGATAACGAAACCAGACATGCCTGTGACGATTGTCACACATACGCCATTTAAGATCGTCACACATACGCCATTTAAGATTAACGTACGCGTCCCATGTCCTCAAAAACTAGTTTTGATGTTTCCTTCGCTAACAGGAATAGGTGCTTCTTTCCAAATAATGAAGCATGGGTAAGGCTAATATCAATCGCTTCAGCCGGATGCGCTCACAAGAATAGGGACAACACCTCTGCTAACCATCGATTTTACTCATGCTCCATCTCATCAAGAATCCCAAGATGAGGTACCATAGCATTAGGTCTCCTGATTCTATGCTCATGAAGTTCAGAATGTTACATGAGAACTTAGCTCAACTGTCATCTGCTTAACTGGAAAACATAGATTGAGACTGGGTAGATTCTATAGAAAGCAGTGCCCTCAAAGCTAATTGAGAGATTGTTCCATTACTTTCACTAGATATCGTACCTAATAACAATGATTGATACAACCCCATGTTCAACTGCAGAAAGGGTACGAAGAACTAAAAACCTTATAAAAACTCAAAATTACATAAAAAACATACCCAGCTTCTTGCAAAGATCCCACCTGAAAACATCTGTCTACTAACTTTGTCCTGCAGTTGCAGCAATACATTTCAAACGCTTCTTATGACCAATGAAGCAGTCAAACGATCATGAGCACCAGTGGACAGAATAAATGTCACCGATATAAGTTGTCCAATGTCTAGATTAGCCCCAAATAGCAATTTCCATTTCCAATACAAATAAATGAAGAGCAATACCTTATTACCCAAACTAGATGCTATTTAGAGTAGAATACAAGAGGCTTGTCACATGCATTCTCTGTCCAATTATTCTTTCATCCAGATGCCTTTGATAGGGCAATAAATTCAAATCTATTCCATTTGGAAAAGAAACAAAAGAGAAACCATATTGAAGAAGAGTACCATACACTAGTACAAGACATGAAGTGAAAAGTTTTTCTCCATGTTTGATCTCTGGGTGGGTAGAATGAACAGAATATAAAAATCACACCAAAGCCATTGAAAACTTTGATTCAATTTCATAAATGCTGCATGTTCACTTCAGATTTTCAAAATAATAATAGAAGCGAAAAGCACCAGTCTGGCAAGGACGAGTAGCAGTGCACTTTTCAAGCCAGCTATCTGACAAGATTCCATGCGCCTGACAATGGCAGCAACAAGATCCCGAATGTGCTGTGCCATTTGAGAAGGCATATGCAAAATAAGTTGTAGAATGTAGCTACCCACAAAGAGTGATCCAGAGCTGTCCAAATTAGGGTCCAGAAGCCTGCATGCAGATCATTTTCAGGTCAGCTCCACATAGCATAGACCACCAAATACAAATGGGACAAGCATAATAAACAGGCTGTGTCTTCTGATAGCACACTATCTACACGAGGCTCAAAGAAGATGCATTGTGAGAAAATCTAAATAACATAGAATAAAAAATTCTTTAAGCTCAAAATAGCACTATGGATTTCTAGAAAATGACTACGGTTATTGACCAACTTTGGGGCAAAGAAAAGGGTGTTCTGCATGCTTTGGCATGAAGCGTGTCAGGCACCAAGACCATAACTGACCATGTGTCATCACATCAGATACTCCAGCTGACACATCCGGCAGCTGACACATCCGGTCAGTGTTGCCAAGTGCGTTCGATATTTATTTTATCTAGCACTGACAACGCCCTGCTCACCCATCGTCAAGTGTATTAAGATATAGGGAGGCATGTGTCCTACTTCCAATTACAAAGCTCATGACTTAAACACATCTGTCATGTGTGGTATTTAAGACATGCTTCTTTAGAAGTGTGCAGTGCTCACATTTTTCTAGAATAGCTCAAATGGGATATATTGGCCATGTGTATATTAGTTCTACATATATTAATTAGCATTTGAAGTTTATACATGGCCACACAAGCACCTTAAGGTACCAATGCTCAGACTCTACCATTAAACGAGAGTTTTGTGTCTGACATGCCACTGTTTAAGGAACCATATTAGACATATCATGCCAATTACACAACCATGGATGGTGACATCCTTGTGACCTAGGTTATCAATAGCATAAAGAGTAAGACAAATTCAACTATAATGTTCCAGAACGGCAAGGCATAATCTGATTTACAGTGATTTGACTCATTTCTAATCATTATTAGTAGCTTTTGATGTTTTCTACGACGGCGTTATCAGGCTGGACTGCACTAGTTAGTCCAACCAGTCAAACTGCTAACCGGTGCCTTGGCCTATTTGGTCCAACACAAGGACCTGGTTTAGTAAAATGCAGTCAAAACCAATATTTGACCAAACTCTTTTTTACTTGTTTGACCAGCTACGAAGACTTATTTTGTAATATCTTATATTTTTAAACTAGGGTGTGGTTTATATAAGGTTGCAACCTTAAACAATCCAATTAAGGCGCACCCACAAATTTTATCATAACATGTAATTTTGGTGTAAAAAATTCTTAGGATTACATAAAAATCTATTTTCATATCATCATCATCATTTTAGCATTTTTCCAATTAATTGGAATCAGCTAAATGAATCCTGGTTCTCCATTCTGCTCTATTAAAGGTCATATCCTCAGTGACGTCATAAGTCCCTATATATTTTCATATCTAATTGTAAAATTTTCAACTTCAAAAATGGTTAAAACCAAATAGATCTATAAACATATGAAAATTTGGAAAATGGACGGTCTAGATAATGTGTTGCAAGATGCACTATTTTGGGATTCAAAATCTTTTTCTTTTTTTTTTCATATTCATACATTTCGGTGTCAAGATGAACAATTAGAGGGTTTTTCAACATTAAAACAACCTTTTCCAATGGATTTCAAAGGCGCATGTTTAATTCTACATTTTAAGGTTGCAACCTTATATAAACTTTTTCCTTTAAACTATTCTCACAATTTTATTTTTACAAAAATCTGGTACAACTAGTTAAACTTGTGATTGGACAGGTTTTGACAAGACCAAACTCCTAAACATTAAGAGTTGGCCCAATTCTAATGAGATTGATCCATAATACAGGTATCATAAATATGATCATGTTTTACTACTTCGCTTTGTGATAATTAACCATCAGGATTTACATTAATCATAAATCCACATCATGGCAGTATAAGAGTTGAATGTACACACAAATATTTCCAAAATCCATAGAAGGAAAACGACCAATATCAAATTCGGAAAGGATGACATGACATTTTCAATAATATTGCAAGGTTTGTATGAGTGGGACCCAAATACAAAAAGTGGAAGATTGAAAAGGAAAAATACTTCTTTGCAAATACAAATTCATTACACTAGCTATATTTAGCCATAGAATTGCATTAAAGTTTCCATTCTACAATATAGCTGCACTAATTCAACCAATGATGGAAAATACGCCAGCCCAACTGCCTAGGCGGGCTGCCTAGTCGGCCAAAGGGCTTGGGAGCATCACCGAAGCCTAGGCGGGAGGGGGGGGGGACATGCATAAAGGCGACCGCCTAGGCTGGCAGCCCAGGCTGGTTGTCCAGATAGTCCAAGAAAACTTTCAGAGAGGGGTGAAAGTGCCCCTCGGTCAGGAGCATTTTCAGTCTTTTAACCCAAAATTTCTTTGTATTAAAACCATGGGGGGTCATTTTAGCCCCCCAAATCCCTTGGAGAACCAATTTCAAGCCAAAAACATACTCATATACGGAATTCATGTGAGTAATCCAAGATCAAACGAAAATCCAAAATTTTCGATTTCTTGTGAAATCGAAAGCCATTTGCGCCCAATCTTTTGGCGCTTGAAGGGGATGTAAAAAGAGGTTTTTGGGAACCAAAGCTCACCCTTTCAAGGCTTGAAGGATTCCATTTTACAGGCTATAGATTTTCAAATTTTGGATTAGGGTTTTATGAGCAATTATATATTTGTCATAAGATATTTATAGATAATTATGTTTTTTTTTATTTGCAATATTTTTTATTTATTTCATCTTTAGAATGTGGTTAGTATTGTTTTGATGTGTTTTAATTTTGTTTACCAATTTGGATTAGGATTTGAAGCCCGAAATTCATTAAACCTAAGCCAAATCAAATGCATGGGTTCACTGTTTGGTTTCTTCTTCTTCTTCTTAATTTCTTTTTTTTTTTAAAAAAAAATTAGGCATTTGAACTCAAATCCAGGGGATTTGGTATTTAACCAAACCTTAAAAAACATAAAAAATAAAACAATAAAAAACAATGGACAATTGGGTTCGCTGGCACCCGCCACGGTAGCTTAGCTCCCCCATCGCCTAGGCGCCACCCCACGACTTTCCCAACATTGAATTCAACTTAAAATGATACTATACAATGCAACGAGCAAGAAACACAAACCTTGAAGCCGCATCCAGCAGACTTCTCAATGTAAACCCAGGATCTCCTCCCCAAGAGAGCAATTCTGCTTTACCCCCTAGTACAAACGCAGCTAAGCATTCTGTTGCATTCTGCAGAAGCATCAAACCCCCAAGCAATTGGAAATGGAAAATAATTAAATAAATAAGTGGAATGAACGTCCATACAGGGATGACTTAACCAAAACAATGAAAAGCACCACACATTACAGATAAGAAAGCTTACTTGCATCTCACCATGATCCTCACTTTGAATAACTATCTTGATGATAGAATTGAAGCAAACCTCAAATGCCACTTTTACGACTTCCACAGGAGCATTCTGCAAAACAGGATCAAAAAGCTTATACATATGCCACTTTGAAATTTAAAGCAAAAACCAAATGAGACATATGATTTCACGAGGGATATTCTGTAAAATGAAAACAAAGTAGTCATATACAAAATTAAAACTTCCAGTAGAACACACACAAAGCAATAATAATGTAATAATGTCCTTACCTTCAACAACATAGTCAATATATCCAATGAACCTGCAACCAATCCTTCAGGCTGCTGCTGCGGCTATCAAATTCCAAATACCACAATAAGAACCATGCTGCATAATAACAAAGTTCTGAATTTCAATGCCTACCAGAAACAAAAGAAAAAAGAGATTCTGGCTTATCAAAAGCTTTAAAATTGAGGCATCTTGCAATCCCAATCATACATACATTTTCCAAAACAGGGGCAATGGAAGGTAAAATCCGCGAGACAAGAGGCTGCAGACATCCAGGAACATTCTTGATTGCCTGAGAAGTCAGAGTACAAAAATTTCATCACACTAAACCCAAAATAAAACAGCAGCAACCATGCTCCTCTAGACAAGACATGATAAAGTAAATACAAAGAAGCGTATCTGTCCTTAAAATGCTTCAACAACAAATCAACTAAGTCATAGAGTTGAAAAAAAAATTGGGTGAATTCTTAGAGTTGAAAACATGCGATAAAGGAAGCATATATTTTTTCTGAACATGTTAGCTTTACTATTTCCATTAAGGAGTAAAGAGGGGTCCAAGACAAAAAAAATATAGGCTTTCCACAGGCCGGGAGCTCTGCATACAAAAAATGTGCAAGCCACCAAGGGGTGCGCTGCACAATAAATTAAAGGCCACCCCTAAGTAGGGAACCCTGTAGATAGAATCATTAGGCCAGTAATTAGTAACCAAGTAGGTACACAAGACACTTCCAAGTCAAAGTCCATCAAAAAAAGGGGCTTAAGGGGTTGTGCAGTGATGATGTAGCAGCCCCCTTAGCGAGACTGTCAGCTTCCTGCTATGATTCCCACTAAGTATGCCTCCATAAGACTTGCATATCCTTGCAGATGTGAGCAATTTCATCAAAAATTTGAGTGAGTGACCAAGTTAGGGAGTAGATGCAAAAGTCCAACTTATCACGCTCTTAAAGTCTCCCTCGATCACTACCGAGGAGTTCCACTGAGGATTGAGCTGTTTGACGCCCTCTAGAAGAGCCAATGCTTCTGCTGTTATAGAATAAGTGTCTGATATTTTTGGAGAAGGAAACGAGGGTAGAGCCACTGTGGTCCCTAGGGAGAGCCCCAATTCCTGTGGGGCTAGGGTTGTCTAGGGAGCAACCATCAAAGTTGAGCTTGATTTGTCCTAGGTCTGATGGCTTCCAAAGGGAAGCTCGTGAGATGCGGGTTTGTCTTAAGAAAAGAATAGCTTCCCAGTCTTGATAGAATGCGGCATGGGATAAACCTTTGAAATGCTTGTGGTTGGTAGCCCAAAAGATTACCAAGGATTTGATGTTGACAAAGAGTTCAGCCGACGAAGCTTGTCCACCTCGGAAGATCCTATCGTTATGCTCAATCCACAAAGCTCATAAGAGTGGCTGCCAACGAAGCCTTCCACAGTAAGATGCCTGCTTTTGGCAAACGGAAGGGGTGCAGAGAGCTGAAAAGGTGAGTGACAGATGTCGGTGTTACCTATTGCCATATGAAGAACCGGAGGAGAGCTCCCCAAATTTCTTGGGCAAAGGGGCACAAGAGGAAGAGATAGGTGTTGCTTTCCTCTATGCATAGCACAAAACGCATCTGTTAGGGGCCTTCCCATCTTCCTTTGCATTTGGTCAACCGTGAGGACCCTCTCGGACAAGGCCAACCACGAAAAGATTTGCATTTTTGTAGGGGCAAAGGAAGACCAGGCTTGTGCTACCAAGGAAGTGAGTGACAATGGGAAAGTGAGTGGCTGCAAATGTTTAGGGTAAAAGGAGGAAACCAAGAATTTCCCAAGGGACTTCAGTCCAAATGATGAGATCAGGGCCCTGAGGTGCGAGGAACCAGTTATGGAGGGCTGCAGCGAGGTCTATAAAGTCAGCACTTTCAGCTTCATTAAGTGCTCTCCTAAAGGTCGGGTTCCATGTTCTAGTGGGACCCAAGAGGGTCAGTTCATCGGCCACCAACGTTCCTTGGTTCTGGGATAGTCTGAAGAAGGATGGGTACTGGTCTGTGAGGGGGGTATGTCCAAACCAAAGGTCGTACCAGAAACAAAAGCACCTTCCTTCCCTGGGATGAAAGCGAATATGGCTTTTGAATAGAGCAAAGGAGAAGAGGATGGACTTCGACTGCTGTCGGCATGTGGAAGAGGGACAGCTGGTACACCGGAATATTGGCAAGAGTTGCCTTAATGAGGGTTAGACTCCCTGACAGAGAGAGAAAGTGGCCCTTCCAGCCAGAAAGTTTGTGATCCACCTTATCGACCATGTGGGACAAACAACGCTTCTTTGGTTTGCCAATCCACAGTAGCAATCCCAAATAATTAGAAGGAAGAGATTCCGCCTGGCCCCCCCAACTGTCCGCAAAGCTCGTTGTAACTTGGAGGTCCAGAGCAATGCTCTATCATCTTAGATTTGTTGAGGTTTACTTTGAAAGCCATGGAGAACTCGAAACATTTTAGAAAGAGTAGAAGGTTATCAAGTTCCTACTGGGAGGCACCGCAGAAAACGAGGTTGTCGTCGGCATATTGGAGGTGGGTGGTGATAGGGCCCTGGGGTCCAGACTTAAACCATGGAATCTTTCTGAAATAACATCCGAGAGATGAACTGGCTGAATAACTCGGCCATTATAGCAAATAAGAATGGGGAAAGGGACTTGCCCTGCTAAGGCCCTAGAGGAGGGGAAGAATCCTTCGGGTGACCTCTTAATGAATATAGAGAAGAAGGGTGGGAGTAACACGCTTTCATCCAGTTCCTCCAACGACTACCAAAACCCATCCTAGAGAGCATTTCATCCAAGATAACCTAGTTTACATGGTCATAAGCTTTCTCCCAATCTAATTTTATGACCAGCCCAGGTTATTTTGCTAGGTGCCTGGAATGGCTGCATTGGTGGACCACAAGAACCCATCTAGATTTGCCATTCTTCGACAAAAGCACTTTGAGAGGGGGAGATCCAGCTCCGGAAGCTCGATCCTGCACTTTGGGACAAAGGATCCCATTCCAAATGTTTTTTAGATCCACAAAACTGGGGATCTAGATCCCTAGTTAATGGGAACCAAATCCCTCTCATCCCAAACATGGGTCCATGACTAAGTGGAATCGAGCCTCCACCAACAAGAAATCGAGTTTCGTTTACATTGGTACCTAAGATCACCAATACAATTCAAGTCGCATGCATTGACCACACCCTCTCCCCCCACCCATCCTCTCTCTAACTCCCTAGCTCATAATCTCTCTCTCTCTCTCTCTC